AAAGACATGATTAGCCAAGTGATTTAACACCACTGTGTTAGAGGATCAATTGTGTGTGTGTGTGTGTGTGGGGGGGGTTCCAGAGAGCAGTGGAGAACACCACTTTTGATGGAACCAGCCTCTTTGTTATTGAGTGCCAGAACAGCCAGCCCACCTAAAGCCCAAGTATATATTGAGCTGAGTCCCAGTCCTCTGCTGATTGCTAGACAAGTTTTCTCCAGCTTCACGAAATGGAAAGGGCCCATGCTCATCTGGACCTCATCTGGACCTCATCTCTACAGTTTGGGCTGGTTCGTAGTGCCTTTTTGTAGTAAGCGAGGACAGCTCCAGGATGTTGCTTTTTGAAGGAAATACTTTGAGTTTGGGCTGGTTCTTAGTGCCCTTTTGGGCTGGTTCTTAGTGCCCTTTTGTAGTAAGCAAGGACAGCTCTAGGATGTTGCTTTTTGAAGGAAATACTTTGCTTTCAGCACAGAAGGCAGCACGGTCTCAGAGCATGCACAGAGTGCATCTCCACTGGAACAGCATAACAGGATGGCGCCTTGACTTCTCCTACAATGCAGGCTCTTTCTCTTCGTCATTTGAGCTACAACAAGTTTCGTCACCTTGCCTCTCAGGAATGACGAAACCCCAAAGAGGAAATATCCAAGCTCCCCATGTGTTTCGTGAATGAAAGATCAAGGGTAGTTACTTGTACCAAAGTTCCTGCCTCCCCCTCTCCAGATACATTTAAAAAAAAAAAGATTTTCCAATTGCACAAATGCTCCAATATTTACCCCATACTAGAAAACATAAGTGAAGCCAAGGTGAACAAGCATGCTTTGTTCCTTGTGTGCATCAGTGCTAATCTTTCTGTCAGAATCCTTAACAGTCTATGACAGTTCATTTATGAATGTGCCTTAAGTTCAGTAGCACACTTACCTTTTCCTGCAGAGCTTGAAGAGGTTACTTGGAAAAAAATTTAAACTCTTAGAATCAGCTGTCCGGCACTATTCTATGCATTGAATGATAAGTGTGAGGGCCAAACTCACACCTATGCCATTATTAGGACACTGAAATCTTTTAGTATTCCCGAAATGTGATTCAGGCAGAGCTTTATTAAATGTCTGTATTGTGCTTGTGAATGGACTGGATAGCTCAGTGCTTTAGGTCTCTGGCTTCAGAGCCAGAGGTTGGGAGTTTGATTCCCCAATGGGGCCTCCTGAGAGAAGAGCCAGCCTGGGTGGCCCTTGCCAAACTGCACAGTCCTAGGGCAACCCCAGAAGGAGAGAATAAGAAACTGCTTCTGAGCATCCTCTACCTGGGAAACCCTGCAAAGGGTGACCATCAGTAAGAATTGACTTAACGGCACATCATTATTATCATTGTGCTTGTAAATGAAGCTCATGCATTCCTCACAGTGAGAGATCACAAAGCAAAACAAGCTATTTTGCAACCCATAGAGGGCTTTAAAAACTACTATGATATTCACACATTTGAGCATCACCAGAACTTCATTGGTATAAACGACGTAAGGAATTGAAATGATTCCAACAGCCCTTTTTCTTAGATCCCAGGTCTAGTGCCACCTGGTGCCTAAATCTTATAATGACATTATCCACACTGAAATCAATCCTCTACCAGAATCACCTCTTTTTCTACCACTTGTATTGAACGTGTACCTCTAGCTACTCTGAGAGAACTTCATGCAGTGTGGACAAGCTGTGCTGTAGTGCATCCAGATTGTGACCTGGGCAACAGAGACTGATTTGATTAAGTGAGAGGTGCTGACATGAGGTTAGACACATTTCTTGGAAGAAGATGGAGAATGCATTAATTTGGAGAAGATGCACTTATGCAAAGGAAGATGTGCTGTTTGAATATATTTTTGGAGTTGCACAAGATGTATCTATCACCCAAGAGCCTCCTCTCTATTTTTCAGTGCCAAAGCTGGTTGGATCATTTGCAGATTTGAAATGAGAAGCAGAAAGAATTCCCCAGCTATTTCAAAGAAGGGGTGATGCTCGTCATTAGCAAGGGTAGAAGGGTGACTTCTTTATGTCCTTCCTGTCACCAAAGCAATTGCAACTTTCATTTGTATCTTGGTCTCCATTTCTTATACTGGAAAATGCAAATTCTCCATCTTGGGAGATATAAAATAGTGGTCCCCAGAGGTTCTTGGACTAAAACTCCCAAAAGCCTTCACCACAAACTTTGCTGGCCAGGATTTTTT